TAGGTGGTAGGAATTTTCCAGTTCTATTAGCATCTTATGGGAACACTGCTGTGCCTGTGGTCAGTTGTTGACGGGAACGTCATTATGTGGTAGCACATGACTATGTCGGAATCAGCTTCTTTGGGGAGGGTTGGCATGCAGCTTGGTTTTTGTTGTTGTTGTTTTAGAGACCAGCAAAGAAAGTTTCACCAGTAAAGAATGAGATCTAGTTGGGTGTGGTGGTGCATGCCTGTGATCCCAGAATTTGAGGCTGAGGCAGGAGGGTCTCAGCCTGGGTGACAGCAATCTTAAGGCTGGTCTGGGCTACAGAGTGAGACACTCTCAAAAAAACCAAAACAACAAAAGAAAACAAAACAAAAGGGATATGATGGAAAGAGGACCAGGAAATGGCAGAGCCAGGATTTGAACCTATGAACTCCTGAGCCTGGGTGCTCAACCACTGAGCCTCACTGCTGCTTTCTCAGCAGTGCTTAGGTCTGTGGTTTTTCATGGTGGCCGTCCTCCTCCCAACTCTCCTCAGCTCTCCTCTGGTTCTCCAGCTGGGGGTGGGGTGGCAGGAGGTAGGGTGTGGGTGGCTTCCAGCAGGGCTGCCATGCTGCCTGGGCTCACCCCCAGCTCCTCTGGGCCGGGATCAGAGCTCCAAGGGATGGAGGAGGTTGGGATGTAGAAGGCAAGAGAAAGATGCTGAGCTTGGCCACCAGGGAGGGGCCTCCTCCTGCTCTCCCTCCTTTCCTCCTGGGGTGGTGCTCCTTCTCCTTGAGCTGTCAGCTGTTTCTCTCTCTCTCTCTCTCTCTCTCTCTCTCTCTCTCTCTCTCTCTCGCTGCGGCTGCAGCCCCCCAGAGCAGGGTTGGCAGCACAAGGCTTGGAAGGGATAGTGCCCTTCCTTGCTGCCTGCCTGCCTGCCTGCCAGCGCCCTCCCTAGCTGCGGCAGAAGCTATAAAAAGCACAATCCTCAACAATAGGTGACATCACCAAGAAGAAGGAAGAGCTGGATTCTGCCAGATGCCGGGGAGAGTTATGGTCCCCAGCCTCCCTCAGGATGGAGGACCTGGGCAGGGGCTTGGGGAAGAACCACTGGACTCCACAGGGACAGAGCTCAGGTTCTGTAGGACTCACATGGGGGACAGGACAGGGGCGAGCCTCAGGGCCGGAGATGGGTTTCATGGGTGCCTCAGAGGTGGGGTCTAGGGAGGACCTCGGGGAGCAGGGCTCACTGAGTCCCTGAGTATCCTCTAAATGTTCTCAGACCAGTAACGGCAGTAGGGGCTCGGAGGGACAACAGGGACTGAGGGGGGACTCCAGACCCCTGCAAGTCTGCCCTCCCGGCCCCTGTGGGAGCCTGGTCACCGCCCACTGTCCTCCCAACCCTGCTTTGGGACAGCACCCTGCATGCACACTGAACTGGCCATGCAGGATTTGGGGGTGGACTCCCAGGGCCCAGATAGACCAAGGCGGCCCCGCTGGGGGATCAGGGGCAGGTGGGGTGGGGAGGCCCAGCACAGCCATGCAGAGAAGACACGATGACATCACTCCCGGAGTGTGTGACACTGAGTCTGTCTCCTCCCCATAAAAACAGGGCTGCTGGTGAGGCAGGAGGAGGACAGGGACCCACAGGGGCACCGACTGTGAGGCTGCAACCTCAGGCCCCATTGGCCCCAGTGCCGAGGGTGGGTGGGGCTCGGAGCCTGGCCTCTGCAGCAGCTGGCCTGGCAGCTGGAGTGGAGCTTAGTTCTCCCTGATCCGGGCTTAATCTCCCACTCTGGATCAGCAGCCCCACTGAGCGCTCCCTGCGCTCCCCCAGCCGCCCCATCCTGGGAATCCCAGGCTGCACACAGCTAAGGTCCTCACAGCTCCGCCCCCTGATCCCCAACCCCAGCCTATACTCCAGGTGTCACCTCAAAGTCCAGCTGCTCAGCCTTGGCCCATCCTCCCCTCTCTGGGCCCAGCCACACCTGTCTGGTCTCCTCTCCAAGCACCACCTGCCTTCCCTCAGCCCTTTACCTCTGCGGTCTCATCCTGGAAAGCTTAACCCTTTGTCTCCCTGCCAAAGTCCTGCTTCTCCAAAACTTCCTCCTCCTCCCTGCACCCTGGTCAAAAGCAACCCCTCTTCCTGCCTCATGCGCGGCCCTCCACTCGGCCTTCAGTGCTCACAGTGCCCGCCTGTGGTCCTGCTTCCCTGCTGGGGGTGGTCTGAGCACAGGTGTCCTCGCAGCCTCGGTGCACACAGCCTAGATCCCTCGCACTTGCGCAGTTCACAGTGGGGCCCGTGCTCCTAGGGCAGCAGGTGGAGCTCAGGTGGTGAAGGAGGGATGGGGAGGAGGTGGGGAACAGACAAAGCTTTGCTCCCTCCCGCCAGCTCACTGGCCGCTGTGTGGCCCATTTGTTGGGTGTGGGGATCCCATCAGATTCCCCGGCAGCCGGCGGGTGGGGGTGCCAGGCAGTGTGTGTGGAGTCTCCGGGCTCCGGGGCAGGGGCTGAGCCTTATGCTCTGACCTCAAGCAGTGACGGCTTGTTCATAACTGGGGTCCTGGAGTGTGACACACCCCCTGGGTGAAAGAAACCACTGGGCTAAAACCTGGAAGGTTCCTCTCCCTTGATCCAGGTGGCAGAAGTTTCAGCCTGAGGAGGCGCTAGAGTGGGCAAGGGGATTACAAGAACCCTGGCCTGGTCTGTTCCGGCCCTACCCCCAGACGGACACTGCTTCTCTCCTATCGGGCTGGGACCCCTAGTGAGTCACCACGAGGGACCTGAAGCTCCCAGCACTGACACTGTTTACCCCCACCTTTTCTTAATTTAATTTAATTGATTGACTGATTGATCACAGTATTTGGAATTGAATCAAGGGCCTCAAGCATGCTAGGCAATGCTCTGCCACTGAGCTACATTCCCAGCCCTTTGTTATTTTTTATTTCGATACAGGGTCTTATTAGGTTGCCAAGGCTGCCTTGGACTTTTAGATCCTCCTTAGCCTACCAAGTAGCTGGGATTACAGGCATGAGCCGCCATGCCCAGCACCTCTGTTGGTTCCTTCAGTGCTAGAATTTGGTGGAGGCAGCGGCTTGAGTGAAAGGGGCTCCTCCACTCCCCTGCTGCATGGGACCTGTTCTTAGACCCTCAGTTTGGGGGTGGCAGTGCCCGTCTCAAGGAGACCTGGCAGCTTCACATTAATGTACGCTGAGTGCCCAGAGTGGACAGAGGAGCCATATGTCTGTTCCCTGCTGACTGGTGACAGTTGTTCAACACCTCAGCAGGCAGGGAAAGAGCCACTGTGTTTGCCACACTCGGTCCCAGGCGCCTGCCTCCCCTGCAGAGCTCTGTCCTTTCCTGCACTGCATCTCTCTTTTTGAGACAGGACATTGCTTTATAGCACAGGCTGGCCTTGAACTCACTATGTAGCCCAGCTTGGCTCAAGCACATGATGATCCTCCTGCCTCTGCCTCCTTAGTGCTGGGATTACAGATGTGCACCACCATGCCCAGCCAACCATCTCTTTATCAGTGAAGTCACCCATCCATTCATCCATCTACCCATTCACACATAATCTGTGCAGTCACTCATCCATACATCAGGCATCCATGTATCCATGCAACCATTCATCCAACCATGCATCTATCCACTCATCCATTCATTCACCTGTTCATATATCCATGTCTCCATCCATCCATGCTTCATCCATCCATCCATCCTTCCATGCATTCATCCATCCATCCATCCTTCCATGCATTCATCCATGCATCCATCCATCCATGCATCATCCATGCATGCACTCATCCATCTATTCATGCCTCATCCATCCATCCACCCACACTTTCATCCATTCATACATCATCCATCGATCCATGCATCTTCCATCCATTCATCCATCCAAGTACCCATCCATCCATGCATCATCCATCCATCCACCCACATATCCATGCATCCTCCATCCATCCATCCATGTACCCATCCCATGCATCATCCATCCATCCATTCATCCATGCATCCCTCCTTCCATGCATCCATGCATCCATCCACGCATCCATCTACTCATGCATCCATCCACCCACCCATCCATACACACCCATACACAGTGAGTCAATATTGGGTCCTGGGCCCTATGCCAGATGCCTAGGGTTCAGAGGCAACCAGGTTGTGGCCTCTGCCCTCTGAAGATCACAGTCTAGTCTGTAGAGACAGGAGACACAGCTCTGACACCCTTCTAGTTCCAACATCCTGGGAACATGGCCTATCCCTAGCCTATGCCAATGAGCTCTTGCTGTAGCCTGACTGAAGGGTGGATCTTCCTTTCCCTCGGAGCACCAGGCCCCTCCCCAGCTGGGCTGACTCTCTAATCTGCTTGTGAGCTGGCATTCAGGGGCTGGTCATGGCCAGTGGGGGCAGCAGGGGCCACTCCAGAACTCTGAGCTAGACCAGCACCGCCAGCCCTGCTGCAGCCATGAATGCAGCAGAGCCCCAGGGCCGGGGACATGGCAGCTCCAAATGTCACTCTCCCTGGATTTGTTAGTCCCCCTTTCCCTCCCATCTTCATCTCTTTTCTCTCCTCCCGCTCTCTTCCTTGCTCCCCTCTCCTCTTTCTTCTCTCTTGCCATGAGGGAAGGGACATGCAGGGTTCAATTCCAAGCCACCTGCATGGGTCCTGGGACAAGTCACTATAGTTCTCTTCACCAAGTGCCCTTCTCCAGAAGCCACAGCTCCCAGAGCACAAGCCAGGGGATACCTCCCTGCACACCTCCTCCAAGCTTCCTGTTTCCTTCTGTCCCTTCCTCCCAGCCACAACCTCTCTCCCCTTCCTCCTCCTCCCCTTCCTCTTCCTCCTTCTCCTTCAGAGAGCACAGGTGAGGCCCCACATGCCTGCTGGTTTTGTTCTGAGTCTCCCCACAGAGTCAATGCCTCCAGACTGTTTGTCCTCCCCATCAGGGCTGCCCGGGAGGACAGGAGACAGTGGGGACAGGGATGCAAGGTGGAGGGGAAGGGGGTATGAGGGGGGCCCAGTGGCTCACCGACGTGTCCTCTGAGCAGGAGGCGATGACGCTGTCGAGGAAGGGGTTCCATTTGATGTCCAGCACGTTGCCCTGGTGGCCACACACCTTGGGGTAGTTGGGTTCGATCCTGCCTGTCTGCAGAGGGGAAAGGCAGAGGGGCGTCAGCTCAGCAGCCCTAGAAAGGACAACCCTTTTGCTGGGCTTCTCAGTCCCCCAGTGCCCCCTCCCCACTTTTTTTCTTTTGTTTGTTGTTTTTTGAGACAGGGTCTCACTATGTAGTACAGGCTGGCCTTGAACTCACTATGTAGTCCAGGCTGGCTTCGAACTTGTGGTGATCCTCCTGCCTCAGCCTCCTGAGTGCTGGGACTACAGGCGTGGACCACCAGTAGCACGTCCCCCTACTTTCAAAGGCAGAGTTCCTTGATGCTCGTGACCCATGGGCTGCAGGCTTTTCCCAACAGGTAAGGGAGGGCCTTGACCTTTCCAGCGTCAAAGGAACTCTTCAGCCTTAACCCTGAGCCCTGCCCCCTGACCTCTCACCCTGAGGTGCCCAGGGAGAAGCTCTTTCCTCCCACTGTCCAGGACAGTTCATCCCGCAGCCCACTGTCAATTGGTCATCCTGATAAATGCTGTGGCCCCATCCCCTGGTGCTGAGTGCTTCTGCCTCTGGGATCCCAAGGGGCCTCATTCCAGGACAGTCTGGGACACTTCCTGTGGGACTTCCTTTGCTGCTACTGATTTTGGGGCCGGTCCAGTTGAGGAAACAACAGAACTGAAAAGTCCTTGTGTTTGTCTTTGGGCCTGACCCGACCAAATAAGACTGGAGCAAACTGGCCTTCCTCAAATGGAACAGGTAAGGCTAAGATGTTCCTGCCCACAGGGACACACAGAGCCCAGTGGGTGGCAGTCCTGGCAGTGCACACCCATGCCCACCTGTCCCACCTTCCCCCAGGACGCCGAATCCAAAGTCAGCAGAGAGGCCTGAGTCTCCATCCCATCTGCACAAATGATAGGGTGTGAATGGGCATCCTGGTACAGTGTGCATCGGGAACACCTGTACAGTGCCCTGTGGTCGAAAGCCCAGTCTTTGGAGTCAGAGGCCTCTGTGTGAACCACAGCTCTGCCATGTTTTAGCCATGTGGCTGTGGGAGATCCAGTGAACTCCTGTGAGCCTCAATTTCCTCATAAATGAAGCTAGCAGCACCTATTTCTCAGCGTTGTGGTGAAGATTAAATAAGCTACTGGCTTAGCAGAGTGCTCAGAGATTCTCGTCACAGCTGAAGGATGATGAGGGAGAGATGGGGTTCCTGCCCCGCTGTCCATGTCTGCCACCTGCCCTGCAAGATGGGCAGATCCGGATCGGTTATCGCAGAGACTTGGTGGTGGCAGGATGGGCGAGGAATAACCAGCTGGAGAAAGCGGCGGGGTAAGGAGAGGACGGAGCCGGGCAGGTCTCGGGCTGACAAGGGTGGGGAGCGCTGCCCCTGTCAGCAGTGGGTGAGGTCTTATTCTGCACCCCACCAGGGACACAGCAGGGTGGCAAAGTCTTCTCCAGTTCCTCTGGAGCTGTCAGACCAGGACTTCTTAAATGAGACTTGAAGTGGAGACCAAGCTGCACGTCACCCTGGATTTACCAGGGTTGCATGTTATCTTGGACTCTCACCACAACCCTGTGCATTGGTTTTGTGTTTGATTTTTGAGACAGAGTCTTGCTGGGTAGCCCTGGCTGACCTCAAATGTGCAGCAGTCCTCCTGCCTGCACTGCAGAGCCAGACCCTGTCTCAAAAAACCAAACCAAACCAAGCCAAAGCAAAACCCCCAAAAGCAGAGAGTGACCCTTGGTGGCGCAGACTTCTAGGCATTCCTCTCTTTCCAACTTGGATGCACTTCCCCCATGTGACCTCTGTGACAGTCCTATTATTATTCGTGGGGTGGTGACCCTAAGGTTTGTGCAGGGCACAGTCTGCTTGGCCACAAGGGGCAACCCTGAAGGGAAGGGTCCCCTTTCATCCCGGAAGCTCTGATTTCCTCGTTTTGTGCAGTAGGCTTCCACATAAAACTTGATTTGAAAGATGAGTTCCACTGTTAGAAAGAAGCCTGAAAACCATTTTTTATAGATAAATCAAGGAAATTAGAAAATACAGTTATTTCCAGGTGTGTTGGCACACTCCTATAATCCCAGCCCTTGGGAGGCTGAGGCAGGAGGATCACCATGAGTTCGAGGCCAGCCTAGGCTACATAGTGAGTTCAAGGCCAGCTTGAACTACATAGTGGAGCCCTCTCTCAAAAAGCCAATAAACAAACAAACAAACAAACAAACATCAAGACCCAGTGGGTAAAAGCATGTAATTTAAAATATGGGGTAAGTATAAAAAGAACAGCAAAGGCATAAAAGTCACTACCTTTGGGGAGTAGGTAACCAGGGCCACAGCCATGTGGGACAAGGACTGAGGCCACAGGCAGCATGAGCTGATTGGTGTTTAACTGGGTGTCCAGGAGGAAAAGATCAGGCTCTGTGACATTTGTCAGTTTCAGTGGGACAAATAAAATCTTCTGCATCACTCCTTTCAGGTTAAAGAACTGATGTCCCCAAACAGAGTGAGGAGAGATTCTCCACAGCGCACGGGTATGTAACGTTTCCACCCGACAGATGCAATAGCATCAGTAATTTCCAGAACACACTGAGTAGTAAAACAATTAGGAAGTGATGAATTTTTAATAGTCATAACTCTGTTTTACTATGATTTATTTAATTACCAGTTAATCCCCTTTAATTTTTAATAAAGGCTGTGTCTAAAAATCAGCTTTCAAAAATCCTAAGAGCTATACCACAGGCTCTCATAAGCCAGCACAAGCCAACTCTCCTCGCCTGCAGCTCTGCAGGACTTAGTCCTGTTAGCCTTTATGAACTGCACACTTCTAACTTTGACATAAAAATTAAAGAGCAGGCAAGTAAAATGCCCGTGTAGATGTCCTAAAGGAAGTTTGTTCTGAATTACTAAAAAAAAAAAAAGTGCACAAAGCTCTCCCCAAGGCCCCACAAATGCCTCTATTGCATGATTTCTGTTCTAGACGGGGGCTATGAGTAGAGGCTGGACCCTCACCTGTCCGTCTGTCTCCGAAGCCTGGGTCTTACCTGCTGTGATTTTTCCTTCTCAGTATTAGTATTAGAACTTAATACTAATATTCACACCACCGCCAACAGGAATTGCAGTTACTAATATGTGACAGGGATATGATCAAATTCAGACTGATTTACAAATATGATCACATTTAATCCTCATGACAATCCCATTTTACAGCTGAGAAAACAGAGCTTTAGAGAGCTTCTGAGGAATGAAGTCAAGATTTTCCAGTGTGACCCGGGCATGGTGGCACAACACCTCTGTTCCCAGAACCCTGGGAGGCTGAGGCAGGAGGATTGGCAGTTTCAGCCCAGCCTCAGTAACTTAGTGACTTAGCAAGACCTTGCCTCAAAATATAAAATAAAAAGGGGATGGGGAAGTAGCTCAACGTGAAGGCCCTGCGCTCAATCCTCAGTACTGAAAAGAACAAAACAAAACAACTATTAAAACAACAACAAAGATTTTCCAGTGTGACACAATATTAGAATGTCTGTTTAGACAGTTTCCAGAACTGTACCTGTAGGAGGGTCTCCAGGACTCAGGGTCTATCCTGCCACCTGGACCATCAGCCTCAAAGGGTGACAGGGGCTTAGCAGGATGGGCTGGGGTGGCTGGGGTCCCCAGCGTTAGGATCTGCTTTTACTGCAAAGCCAGTCAGTTTGAGGGGAGGGGGGCTCAGAAGGGGTCGGGTCATGGAGCTCGGAGGAGGGCAATTTTTGCATTGTCCATTGGTCAAGAGCCCTCCTAAATTTTCAAAAGGTTCCCTGCCTTTGACAGGAAGTCCTATTCCAGGAACTGACCCCCAAGGGAAATTAACAGAGAAGCACACTAAGACAGCCACTGCTGCGTGATTTATAATATGGAATGATTTAATACATGCCCAGCGAAGGCTCTGCCTAAAGGAATTACAGCATAACAGAATATTATCAGGTCATTTAAAATCATGCATCCAGAGAATATTTACTGAATGGGAACTGCTAAAGAGCTAATATTTAGTAAATCAGGATCAAGGTATAGGAATAAAATGATCCCTACTAGTAAAAACCATACAATCTGAAATGAAACACATGAAAAATATTAATAGTGGCGACCTCTGGCTAGTTGGGTATCACTAGTGGCTTCTAATTCTTTTATATGAACATTTAACTTTTCTCCCCTCCTGGGCTGGGGATGGAACCCAGGGTTTCATGCACGGTAGGTAGGTGCTCTGCCACTGAGGTAAACGCCCAGCCCCGATATTTAACATTTGTATTTATAGATGTTATCTTTCAAAAATAAACATCCCACAGCCATGATTGGTTTCAAGCAAAGAGGTCTTAAAGGAATGGGGTACAGATTTCCAGGGTTCACAGGCTCTTGCTGGACATGAGTGGATGTGTTCGTACATGGGACTGATCTGCAGGGAAAAAAGATCCTCAGAATTGAATAAAATTATGCAATTAATTTAGAGAGGGTCTCTGAGCACATGTGGAATGCGCATGACTGTCACACTCAGCCCTCCCTAGGAAAGGCTGTGGTGCCCGCTCACCCTGCGGGCTGCCCAGGGGCAGCAGGTGCACCGGGCCCCTGTCCAGCCTCCATCAAATCCAGCGAACCGCCCAAGCATGAGACCGTTTCAAAACAACCTGCACTGCAGCTGCAGCTTCCTAGAATCCTCCATCACTGCACAGTGGAAATTTGTACACGGAAGCAAAATATTTTCTTACCTAGAGAATCAGCTTAGCGAGGCAGAAAAGCACAGGGCACAGGAGGTAGGGTTTCCACACCCAGTTCCGGGGCTCACTGCCAGGTGACCTTGAACACAGCCCCTAGCCTCTCTGGACTCCTCAGTCTAATGCCCTATTCTTCTTGGAGGCTGCTACTGGAGCCAGCATGTGTGCAAACACAGAGTGCCTTGCTTCCGGCTTGCTAGGGTAGAATTCACACCAGGTCGGCTGCCGCAAGACCACTACCAACCATGAGAAACTCTGGCGATCAGACTATGTGATTCGTGCTTATGAAGTGCCAAGC